GGGAGGGAGGGAGGGAGAGATAGGGGAAAACAGGGAAGAGGGAGGGGAGAGAGAAGGGGAAAGAGAGAGATAGGGAAAAAGAGAGCGGGAGAGGGAGGGAGGGAGGGAAGGAGAGATAGGGGAAAACAGGGGAGAGGGAGGGGAGAGAGAAGGGGAAAGAGAGAGAGGGAGGGAGAGGGGGAAAGAGAGAGGGGGAAGAGGGGGAGGGAGGGAGGGGAACAAAGAGAGATAGGAAAAAAGGGAGGGAGTGGGCCATGCGGGGACTCCTGTGAGGGGAGGGGTGGGGTGGGCAGGGCCAGCCAGGAGTGGGATTTGGGGGCTCTCCAAAGTGCACAGAATCTTAGGGAGGGGCTCGAACCCCTAGCAACTCACCCCTGGATGGGCAGCCAAATTTTTTCATTTATAAATAAGAAAGTAAATAGGTAAACAAACAAACAGACAAACAAATAAAATGTCACACTTTTAACATTTTGATTGGAGGTGAAAATACAAGGATTTAAACTTCTGCAGCAGAGAAAACGAACACACACACGTTGTTCAGCTTCATGTATCACAATATCTTTACAAGTCACAGCCTAGCAATCTACACTTTAGAGCGGGACTTTCACCTCAACCTTGAGCTAGTAGGGGTATATCCACCCAGAAATTCAAGAGGTACAACTCCTGGATCCTTTGATCAAGATGTTTGACAAACTTAGACATTTGTGCAACACATAGAAATTTCACAAACTCCACCTCCTGGATTAATTGTGCAAGCAGGAATTTGGTTTCATCCATAGTCATTTCCTACAGATGTACTTGATAGATTTATGTCTCTTCATGTATTTTCTAGCAGATGGATTGTGGGTGAATTATGGAGGTTATTGCTTCAGATACAGGTAATCCTCGACTTAGAACTATTCATTGAGTGACCATTGAAAGTTAAAATGGCACTAACGAAGTGACTCATATGATCATTTCTCACACTTATGACCGTTGCAGCATCCCCATGGTCTCATGATCAAAATTCACAGGCTTCTTTCTGTGGCAAGAAAGGTCGTATAATGGGGCAAAAAAACCTCACTTAACAACTGACTCGTCAAGCCAGAGAAATTTGGGGCTCAATTGTGGTCATAAGTTGAGGACTACCTGCATATGGGTTTGGCCCTCTATGCATGAGAGAAGCAGTTGATTCAAACAAAATTACTTTTTATATAAACATTGATTATGAAGCAGTATAAGTTAATAAAACTCAAATACTTTGGCCACCTCATGAGAAGGAAGGACTCACTGGAGAGGAGACTAATGCTGGGTACGATTGAGGGCAAAGGAAGAAGGGGACAACAGAGGATGAGGTGGCTGCATGGAGTCACTAAAGCAGTCAGTGTGAGCCAGAGGTGGGATTCAGCTGGTTCTGACCAGTTCTGGAGAACCGGTAGTTTTGAGTAGTTCGAAGAACCGGCAAATACCACCTCTGACTGGCCCCGCCCCCATCTATTCTCCGCCTCCCGAGTCCCAGCTGATTGGCTGGGTCTTCTTTGGTTGCCCTGCACAGGAGAACGGAGCTGGAAAGCAGGTTAGTGGGGTGGGGAGGGAATGGAGATTTTGCAGTATCCTTCCCCTGCCATGCCCACAAAGCCACGCCCACAGAACCGGTAGTAAAAACATTTGAATCCCACCACTGGTCTGAGCTTAAATGGATTCCGGGGGATGATAGAGGACAGGAAGGCCTGGAGGAACATTGTCCGTGGGGCTGCGATGGGTCGGACATGACTTCGCAACTAACAACAACAAATAAGATAACAAAAAAGCTCCTACTTTTTTATGGCTGACATATTGATGTTTACCTCATGATGGACACTCTACTCCCTACAGAAATGCTTTACCCTTGCCACCTTTCATCATGTTTTGGACTTCCCAATTAATTTTGTTTCTGGTAGTTCATCGCTCAAATACTAACCCAGGTCAGCTTACTTCTTGAGTTGGTACTTGGGTGGAGGGGGAGGAAAATTTTGGCAAACATTTAATATGCTTGGCTCCTCCAACATCATCCTCTCTAAGGTCTTGTGGTTGCTATTGGACTTGTGAACTTGCCAAAATTGTCTGGAGGTACAGACCATAGGCCAGAGGAGGTATTCAGCAGGTTCTGACCAGTTCTGGAGAACCGGTAGGGGAAATTTTGAGTAGTTCAGAGAACCAGAAAATCCCACCTCTGACTGGCCCCGCCTGCATCTATTCTCTGCCTCCCGAGTCCCAGCTGATCGGCTGGGTTTTCTTTTGTTGCCCTGCACAGGAGAACGGAGCTGGAAAGCAGGTTAGTGGGGTGAGGCGAGAATGGGGATTTTGCAGTATCCTTCCCCTGCCATGCCCACCAAGCCACACCCACCAAGCCACACCACGCCCACCAAGCCATGCCCACAAAACTGAAAGTAATTTTTTTTGAATCCCACCCCTGACGTAGGCTATAGGAACAGGTGCCTCTTGAGGTCTTTCCAGTGTACCCTACTATAGCATAAATACTTCTATCAACAACTTCTTCTCCGCTGGACCTCATGGTGTTGACTTCATCTCCTCCATAGCTCATGAGTCAGATAGGTCCTATTGCCATCATCTCCTAGATCTATCGATCCCTTACTCCATCGTAATCCAAAAGTAGCCTCCCAGTGTGTGAAAATGGGTAGAGTTTGTCATCTGATACCTTGGAAATAAATCCGATGAGTTGAAACCAAAGTAGGGCAGAGATCAATTGCGAGAAATCATCTTCCACGATTGCCGTGTTTCTGTCAAGTCAAGGATGGGTGGAGGGTAATTCAGCACAGCAATCAAGAAAGGCCCTCAGCTGACTGAGTCTTTCTCTGGAGCCAGGTTATTGTAGCAATCAACTGCTAATCCTAAACTGACATGCATTATTGATTATCATCAATAATGGGTTACACAATAATGACATGCATCATTGATTATCATCAATAATGGGTTACAATAATGGATTATTACAATAATGGGTTTTGAACCACGTGTAACCTACATAGACTTATAGAGCTAGAAGGAACATTGAGGTCTTCTTGTTAACTCCATGGCAGGAGACCTTATATCATCCCACACAAATCGTTGTCCAATCTTTTCTTAAAAACCTGTCCCATTGATTAATTGTTCTCACGGTCGGGAAATTCCTCCTTAGCTCGAGGCTGGATCTCTCTTTGACAAGTTTCCACCCGTTGCTTATCCGACTCCCCGCCTCTCCGTGGCAGCCCATCATGTAGCAGAAGACAGCTGTCATGTCGCTCAGTAATCCATTTACTGGATCCTTCAACGATCTAACATTTCCAAGTGGTAATCAGTTCCTCAAAGGTATGGTGAGTTCCAGTGAGTTCATGGCTTCCCAACTTGGTCTACAAATTCTCAGCTTCATTTTACATCTTCCAAGAGCTGCCTTATCGTGCCAATAAATTAGGCAATTGAACCACAAAGGTAAAGAGATAACTATGGAAGTTAACATTAATATTGCTCATATTCAAAACTTTAATAATTACAGGTAAAGGTAAAGGTTCCCCTTGTACATACAATCAAAGGCTGCAATTGTAAAATTAGGAATCCCAATATTTGTTGTTGACATATTGCCTTCATCTCATTCTCAGGCCATCAGAGAGATGATTTCAAGTCTTGTGTAGTTCTTCCTGCTATTGTCTTGTCACTCTTGTTCTGAAACCATCCAAAGGGAATGTCCAAGAGCCTCCTTAGAGGAAAGTCATGTGTCTATAATGAATGGGAAAAGAAAGAGACGAGAGAGACTGGATATGAATAGAGACAATGGGGAGATTATAACTCATGCTTGTTAACATTTTCAAGATGAGTGAAGAGCACTATCTTTGGCACGATCTGGAGAACTTCTCCATGCAATCTATGACTTTAACAAAGGGGAGCCCCAGGTGGCACAGATAGCTAAATAAATGGAGATCAAGGGAAGAGAACGGGTCCAGCGTGGGCATCTGTTCCTTTTCCAATTTGCGTCCTTCAGATATTCAATGAAAGGCCTGAACAGGACTTGGATCGACCTTGGACAAGTCTTTTTGTGTGTCTGCGCTGATCTCACCAAGCATGAGATAAGGATACATTCCAGTTCTCCCCAAAGAGGTCACGACGAAATTGAAATTAAAATATTTCCTCACCCACAGATTCTCAGCAGGTTGTAGTGAGCGGAGAGTAGTCAGATCAGTTTATTCTCCTTCAAAGAGATTGTGAAAGAAGCAACTGGTTGCGCACATGTGTCATTGCTCCCTCCCCATTGTGGGCAGGATGGATGGACCCAGAAGCTGGGTACATAAGCCATCTAGAATTCTCCAGGACATCAGAAGGAGAAGAGCTCCAGAAAAGTGAAGACAACCTTTGTGAGTAAGTTGAAACCTTGAAGGGAGAAGAGAGCTGTGGTTGTACAAAACTAAAGGATCAGATGGGTTTTTATTCAAAGTGAAATGGATAAGTAAGAACATCAGATTATTGGCAAAGAAGCCAGTTTGGTCTAGTGGTTAAGGCGCCAGTCTAGAAACCAGGAGATGGTGAGTTCTAGTTCCACTTTAGGCATCAAAGCTGCACGGGTGACTTTAGGCCTGTCTCTCTCCTTCAGCCAAATTCACCTCACAGGGTTGTTGATGTGGGGAAAATAGGAGGAGGAAGGAATATGATGTATATTCGCCACCTTCAGTTATTTATAATAAAGGTAGGATTAAGAGATATAAAGAGGAAAGGCTGTTTTTGCTTTTCATACATAGGATATATATTAGCAGACTTGCAGGAGTGAAATAATCATTTGGCTGGAAACTTTCTATCATGCTTCCATTCTAATGGATGGCAATAGCAGTAGCACTTCTTAGACTTATATGCCACTTATATATACTTCTTAGACTTATATACCGCTTCAGAATGCTTTTTACAGCACTCTCTGGGCAGTTTACAATATCAGCATATTGTCCCCAACAATCTGGGTCCTCATTTTACCAACCTCGGAACAATGGAAGGTTGAGTCCACCTGAGTTAGGATCGAACTGCTGGCAGTGAGCAGAGTCAGCCTGCAATATTGTATATGATCCAATGAAGGATAATATTTGTAGCTCAGGGTTGAAATGAGGAATCCTTAGTGCTCTCTTCAGCTCGGTTGTTTTCTTGCAGACATTTCATTATCTAAACTTGTAAGATCATCAGTGCTAGTCCTCATGGTGTAACCTAGCCCCAGCCCCGATGAGGCACCAGCTCTGATGATGTTAAGCTACTTTTGATAATGAAACATCTGTAAGAAAACCACCAAGCTCAGAGAGCTCCAAGGACTCTTTATACATGGTCCTGTTCCTTGAGTCTCTCTCTCTCTCCCTCTCCCTCTCCCTCCCTCCCTCCTCCTTCCCTCTCTCTCAATAATATAATTTTATCAGGAGAGTCTGTGATAAGCCCTTGCATTGCATCATTGCTTTTTTTTTTTTTTGTTTCCCCTTTTACAAAAGCAAAGAAAGAAAATACAGCCCAGATGCTAAAATATGGGATAGGGAGGATTCATAAACATCTTTAGTCTGTTTATTACTTCCAATCCTCTTGCTACCCTTTAAGAAATGCCTCCAAATGCTTTCCTTCTCCTAAAACAATGTTCAGTAAATGGAAAGCAGAAGGGGATATTAGTGGCAGAGGAACAGGAGTGCAGAGAGGTACTTACGGGGTGCATTTATATTGGAGGTGGGAGTGGAGACTCCACTCCCCTTTTGAACATCCCCCATCCTGAATTCTCAAGAAGAAACATTTTGGGGAGGTAAACAAAATGCTACATCACCTGCAAGGCTATTTAGCTGCTAAAGTGCCAGGTGTGGATGTTTGTTTAGGAAGCATCTAGCTAGGTAATTAAAGCATAGATATCTGATTCTGAGGCTAATTGTTATCACCTAAAACTTGCGATGCAGGACTTGGGAAGAATAAATAAACAGGAAGGCAAAGAAGGACACCCAAAGATTTGGATCTCATAGCAGGTGAATTGCTGAATCTTGAATGTGTAGGTAGGGTGTCACTGTGGTAGAAGTCCTTCATGATGGGTCATTATTTGGAGAAAGAAGAGGAAAAGCAGTGGTGTAATTCAAAATATTTTACTACTGGTTCAGTGGGGGGGGGGGCGCTTCGTGCCCGGAGGCGCACTTTGCGTACCTGCGGAGTGTTCTAAAATGGGCAATTTTACGCATGAAAAATTACCACTGGTGAGTAAAAGAGCTGAGGTGCAGCAATCCGATCTGCCGCGCCTATCAGCTGAGCTACAAACAAAGGAAATATAGGACAGGAAAGGGCGGTGGTGGGTGGGCAAGGCCAACTGCTGACTGGTGCTACCGGATCGTTAGAACCGGTGCAAACCGGCAGCATATCACCGTTGAGGAAAAGGCTTCTACAAGACAGATTCGTGGTGCTGCTTGTCCCCAGAATGAGGACAAAAGTGTTCCAGGAAGACCATTACAGGAGGACCAGTTTAGGTTAAACTTTCTTCTTGATAACAGCAACATTATTTTTATCAATTATTTCCGGTAAGGGCACACCTATCCCTTATTTCTTAGATCAGTTTGAGGTACGGCGAAGACAAACAGTTGACATATAATTACTTCTACTCAACCACAAACTTTTAAATATATTCACAAGGAATGCTGACCTGTTTTTCTCAGATCTGGTGCTGTATTAGTTGGGATGTTGGTCTTGAAACTTGACCCCTTTGGAGGACTTGAGAGCTGAAAGGGGGCTTCTAAAGGGGCAGAGATGATGCTCCTTTATAATTTAGTCAGGATTGCTGTCATTTCTCTGTACTGATGGAGACGGTATTGACATGGATTTTGCATGTGTGTAAATAAGTCATGGAGATTACAATCCTGTTTGAGGAACAACAAGCCCTTCTTCCCTGACTTTTTGTGTTTTTAGATTCTAAGATTTTACTAACAATTCCAGGCACTTTTTTTTGGGAAGGAGGACCTATTTTAATTTAGGAAAGAAAACTGTAAATATGTATAGGATGATGCTGTTAACTTTCTATGATCCCTATATATGTGGTACTACTGTCTATGGAGATTCTCGGTCATCCATGGCTGGTCCAAAGGTGCTTTTTTTTTTCCAAAAGGCAACTGGACTTTCTTGGGTTTTTTTGTCCTTGAAAAGGTTTTGCTTCTCACCCAAGAAGCTTCTTCAGTTCTCAGAAATGTTTTCAGGGAAAACCAAGAAACTCCAGTTTGCCATTTTGGAAAAGCACCTTTGGGCCTACCTACTACTGTTCCTGAATTGCTACCTTTATATCAATAAAAGGGCACCTGAAGTTAGGGAGAACAACTTTTACGCAAGCATGGCAGTGGAAACACTTCATCAATAACTGATGAAGAAAAATAGAGTAACAGAGCTGGGTGTAATGGATGTTGAGCTGAAAACTAGGAGGTGGTGAGTTCTAGTCCCACCTTCAGCATGAAAGCTAGCTGGGTGATATCGGCTTGTCCTTCGCTCTCAGCCCAACCTACCTCACAGGTAGTTGTTGTGAGGAAAATAGGATGGAAGGAAATGCGAGGTGCAGGTAGTCCTCTTCTTACGACCGGATGTTTAGCAATCATTCAAAGTTATGACCTACTTGAAAAAGAGGACTTACAACCCAGGTCAGAAGTTCCAATGATTGCCCTCCTCACCCACTTATGACATTTGCAGTGTCCCATGGTTCCACCGTCATATTATACATCGGTTTTGCCAAACATTTCAGTACATTCACTTAACAACTGTGGTGTTTGCTTAACAACCACTGAGAGAGCATTGTAAAATTGTGTCAGTCACACGACTGACCTGTTTTATACAGGTAGTCCTCAACCTACAATGACAAATTCTACAAAATTTGGGCCCTGGTTATTAAGCAAATCACTGCAATCCTTAAGTGAATCATGCAGTCCTTAAGTGAATCATGCAGTCCTTAAGTGAACCTGGCTTCCCCCATTGACTTTGCTTGTCAGAAGCAACTTTGGAAGGTCAAAGATGTGGCGATCGGATGATCCCCAGGATTCCGCAACCCTCACAAATACATACTGGGTGCCAAGCGCCTGGTTTTTGATCAAGTGACTGCAGGGACACTGCAGGTGAGGACCGATTGTAAGTAAAAAAATTTCCTCAGCACTGTCATAACTTTGAACAGTCATTAAACAAACGGTCATGAGTCAAGGATTAACTACCATACATTAATGTTAAGCCTGTATGCTTTGGAACGGTTCTGATTGCTGCTTCTACTGCTTTCCTTTTTTTTTTTTTTTTTTAAAAACAAGTTTTATTAATTTTTAAAACACTCAAATCATCATTATTCATTACATGTTTAAACCTTTTTTCATTGTAAATTTAACAAGTCAGATAAATTATGATTCTGTTTTAAACCATTTCCATATAACATACAAAAACCTCTTATTCAATTTCTCTTTACTTCTCTTTACTCTTATTCAATATCATTATTATTATTTCATCTATTTCTTTCTGACTTAGTTACCATTATTCTCATTCTATATTTCTGCAAGTTTTTACTAATTCTACCCCCCAAAAAAACATATACACACAACACACAAAACATAAAAAAAATCTTTTTGGAAAGTAACTTGGACCCAGGTATCTCTCTCTTCATGGACTTCAATTATATTCATGCTCATCTTACATATCATTACTTATTTTATTTACCATTCTAAGCTTTCTATATTAACTTCTCCACATATTTCACTCTTCTTAATTCTATCTTAATTAATCATCTTAGTTTGAATGAAGTTTGTATCTTTTGTCCATTCTTTATCATCCCTTTGTCTCATTCCTTATAAAAAAGAAGAAAAGAAGTTTCTCCTGAAATCATTAATCAGAGTATGATGCCTTTCTATCTCCCCCCTAAATTAATCAAATTAACCTTTAAAATAACATCCAATACCCAATCCGATTTTGCTTGGTACATTCTATCTAACTAGTACATCCAGAATAATTAAATACATAATTAATTTTTGAACTGACGGTGGATGTTAAGGGCTGGCAAGAGCGAAGTGATGCAAGTTGATGGAAGGTGGAACGCCCTTTTATTTTTTTTAATAGCCCTATATTTTGTATTTTTTATAACAATCTGACATACAGAAAAAATAAATAAATCAAGGCAATTTTCTAGTATGGCACAAAACTGAAGGAAGAATCTTTTGCTGCTCACATCCGACATTTTGTACAACCTCATAAAGGTATCAAGAAAAAGGAGAATGCTACAAGGGTCATAAATGTGAAAAACGGACATAAGCCACTTTTACAGTGCTGTTGTAATTTTGAATGGTCACTAAACCAATGGTTGTAAGTCAAGGACTGCCCTGTATACACACTTGTTTTGGTTGCTGTGGAACCATTCTTGTTCCTTCTTAGGGCCAACTGGATGGATGGTGGCAAGAGTGGTTTGTATTTCTTCCTTAACATCTACTGGTTGTCCAGATTTACCCAGCCCAGGTAGCATGTCATCTTCATATCTACCTACCTGCAGGTGCTGTAACTGACAAGCTGACAAGATGTGTAACATGGATTGTGTTGCCAATGCCGTAAGGATGGCTCTGAGGACCGTTAAAAGGGTATTTGAGAAGACCAAAGGTAAGAAAAGGGCTGTTGAAAAATGCCTCTTTATTTATACTATACACAGCCTTAATAAAGCTTTATGCAAAACTGCTCTAAAGACCTGTTATGATTAGCTCTTGATTTATCCCACTGTGTTATTCCGGTTAGGTTATTCAGCACCATACGCTAAATAAATAAATCCTGGTGAAGTAGCCATTTCAGCATTTTCAAGGAATGAGAGAGGAGGATGGCAAGGAAGCCACACGTTAACAAAGCATACAAAAAGACTATGTTATTTTTAAAAATGCAGTTTTTTTATAAAAAAAAATACTATAATTCACTATCTTACCTTTAGTTTGACCAAAAGGGCTCAAGGGGATCCCTTTTGGGGGGAGGCCGTTTCTGGAAATGAACTCTGACAAGCATCTTCAGGGCCCCAGCTCACTTTAAAAAATATTGTATGGGTGTGGGTTAATTCCAGCTGCACTGAAAAGCACACGAGGAAGGAAAATGCAGAGATTTGCCAAATGAAGTTAAACAGGCCACTCTATCTTAAAACATGTGCATTGATAATATAATTTAGTAGATGTGCTTTGACATCAGGGTGTCTTCAATTATCAAAAGATAAGTCTTCCCACGTTTCAAAATTTGTTTTATGCATTTAATTGATTTTACAGGCTGTCCTGTTTCTTCAGGGTTTGAGGCATGGATATGGATTCAACACCCTCCTTGTGTGACTCTTAATGGCCTCCAGGGCAGGCAACAGGCAGGCCAATGAAGTGATTATCTCACTTATCAGGGGTCTTCAAACTTGACCACTTCAAGACTTGTGGACTTCAACTCCCAGAATTCCTCCTCCAGTCATGTTAGCTCAGGAATTCTGGGAGTTGAAGTCCACAAGTCTTAAACTTGCCAAGTTTGAAGACCCTTGGCTTAAGTGGTGACATAATGAAACAGTTGGCCATAGCCCTTCTGCAAATCTTGGTGTCTTGCTTCCCCACAGTAAGCTCCAACATGTCTAATTGTGGGCATCCACAGTGTATGGTGATAAATGGCTATAAGTTGTGAATGAGCATCCCATTTTGTTTTAAAGTCACATATTCAGCTGAAGTCACATATTCAGCTAAAATGTCGTGTCATTTATTGGTTTTAGCTTATCATATTTTGGGAATTCAGCCAGCTATGGGTGTTCTGACCAAGGCTTCCAAGACCGTAATTACGCTTATTTTAAAAACAAGTCTTGTTTTATTGCAATGCTGAGAATTAATTTCATTCCCAGCCGGTAATGAATCTCAAACAGTCCCTTGAGATAAGCACCCACCTTTTTTTTCCCTGTGAAATGCTGCCAATAACAGAAGTGTCAAATGAACTAGAAAAAAATACCAACCGAAGTACAAAGAACTTCAAGAATGAATCTGAACCGAACAAATGACTTTGCTTCCTGCAAAGGTTTCGTCATCTTTGCCTGTCCTTTATACCTTATGGGAGGGGCAATCACTTCTAAGCCTTACTCCCAAGTCGCCCCTTTTGTCTCAGATGCTCTCGCCTTCTAGCAGCTCTGCGCACACGCACACTGGGAACAGGCTCCCTGTGTTCCTCGGCCTCACTGCTGCTGGACTCCGGAAGCTCCGAAGGCAGCACCCCATTCCCAGATGGTCCTGGCCCCATCTCTGCATCAGATGCAGGATCCTCATCCGAGTCTTCTCCTGACTCCCGGACTGATCCTCTTTCTTCCCCAGTGTCCAATTCCGCTGCTGTCTGCACCGACTGCCGTCAAACCACAACAATGGTTTAGTCAGGAAGTCATAACTAAATTAACCCATGGATTAGCACAACAGATGAACCCAGCCTATAACAGCTTTGTACAACTATCTGGTGTATTAGGTCTGCATTTGCAGTAGAGTCATTCAATGTGGCAGATGCTTGGATTTATTCTTGTTATGGTCCCTGATGAGTAGAATTCTGGGAAATCAAGAACCTCAATGGCCTTGACACAAAATGAACAATTCCTTATTTACCATTTTATTACAGCTATACAGGGTATATGAAGTCAATCCCAGAATAAACAAAACACAGAAGAAGAGAGGTCATAACAGCTTGTCAGTAAAGCTTCTAGTTTCTTTCATTCCTAATAAATTCTTGAACGCTGTTACTCAATCTTGGCAACATCCTAGCCAGTTTTGGGGCTAGGGAATTCTGGGACTTAAAGTCCGCACATTTTTGAAGTTGTCAAGATTGAGAAAACATTGGGGTAGAGAATCCAATCATTTTGCTCCCAAGTTCCTATTCCAACTCTTCTAGAATGAACCAATAGCTTTGAGCTTTCTCATTCACCTAGTAAATGTTCTTACTCAATAAATCTACTTCTTGTTCTTTCCTGACCTCTGACCATTTGGTTTTTATTTGTCTTTCAGAAGTGATTGAGCACCCCTTTGAGGAACCCAAACCAGGACCTAACAAAACAGATTGAGGTTGTGATGGACTTCACGATCCATGACATGCAGAGATCTTCTACATTATTAAAGAACACCATGTAATATCGGGTCAAAATTCCCCAAAAGAATAAAAGTCATATTGACCTAAATCTTTGTGTTGGCTTTCTTCTGAAGTGTCTAAGAAAGGAGCTATTAAGTTGAGTTGGCTTGTTGAGTTGGCAAATGGATGATTGAAAGACTGCAATGCAACAAATCGCTCTTTCTCTTAATTTATTCTGCTCCGGGAGCTTCAAAATCAAGTGGCCACCAGTTAGGTAGCCTGCTAACCACATGTTTATGCAATTATTTATCTTCTATCAAAAGCTACAGGTTCAGACTAGGCAATAAGTGCCTACTCCAGGATGGAAATGAAAATGTGTGAAATTATGAAAAGTATTAAGATTTCATCTCCACAGGAAAGCCATACACCTTCCATACACCTTCCCAGCTATTTAGTCACATCTAATATCCCACAGCTTTTCATATCTGTGTTCCATCACATACGTACTTCATAACACTCATCTCTGGCTCTAAAGCTGCCTATCCCTTTCCAGTTACATTGCTTCATTCCAAAGACTGTGTTGATATTTTTTCTAGTTTAAACCCAGTTTATCTAAATTCAGAGGAAATATATATATATATATATATATTGTTTTGCAACATTAAGACTGGTTGTAGACTGTTTTTCTGCTGGTTTTGTTTTCCTACCTCCCACACTTTCCAGTCCCTGGCCAGAGTCCACTACAACCTACCTAAACCAGAGAAGATTACAGCCTTATCAATGAATTTGACCTTAATCAGTTTCACAGTCCTGGAAAGCGACTGGTTGGCTTGGTTCTCCTTTTATCATCAGGCTCAATTTTCACATCATTCTGCCAAAGAAGCCCGTCTCTCTCATACACACAGCCTCTTTTTTTGCAGCTATGAAACTATTATGTAATTGGGACAATGTTGTCGTGTTATCCTGCCAGCATCACTGCCACTTGAGATTAAAAACAAACAAAACAAACCACAGGAATAATCCATCCCAGCAGGACAACTTCCCTTCTCCCTAACAACTTTGTCCTCTCTCTCTCTCTCTC